CAGTTGGTTGTAGGCGTGTAAGCATAGGTGGTTGGCCATTCCTAGTCCCCCCCCCCCCCCCATAGTTCAGGCGTATACACATGTGTATGCACGGTCCTTGTACGGATCAGGACTGGAGGCGCGTGAGGGCTGTGTCTCTTAGGTACGCTCTCGGTGGTATGCGTGTGAGTGAGCATCGGCTGCCATATCCGAATGTTCCCATTCGCCCGGGCATATAAGGGAACGTGTCTGCACACCTGTCTCTTTTATTCGAGTACACCTGCGTAAGAAGCGCGCGTCCAGCAACCATGCTGGATCAGGAGGGCATATGCTGAAATATCGACTGATTCCCTGAATCGCCGTGTCTGGCCAAGTTGATGTCAAGGTGGCCTTGAACAACCAGTGTTAATAGCCGGACACAGAATGCACAATGAATGTACTATGAATCACTGGCGCGTGTCGTCGGAAGCATGTAGCACAAAATGTGTGTCCGCGGCCACTTATTGTCAGCTGTATGCCCTGATGGTGCCTCTCCGCCAGGTATGCCCGTCAGGGCTCCCATTCAAGGTACGGGGCAATACCATTGTCGTCTGATCGTGTAACTTGCCGTGCTGGGTGCCGATGTCGTAGTGCGGTGGTTTTGTGCCCCTACCTGAAATACGATTTCCGGCTCCCATGCCACGTATGTATGGAGCGGCCATTGTAGTGGTGCTTGCTACCGAGATTCAATTATGCGTGGGTGCTGGACAGTGCTGCGTATTTAAGACAGTGCTGCGTACGTAGTGCTGGACTGCTCCGTAGACTGGGACGGCTGTACGCGTTGGATCCCGAATGTCCACGGTCGGCGGCACATCTGTCAATGCATCCGTACTGCACCAAATACGTCATGTCATCAATCACAGTCAACGTAGCAATGCCACAAGAACGTGAAGCATTCAAACCGGACATGTCTGCAACGGTCGTATCCCTTATGTGAGGACTGTGTGTCCCGACTCCGTCTTCGCTGTAGGCTTGTAAGCACATGGTGGGGCCTCTCCTAACCATGCTTCCCGCAGTCGCGGCGTGCGCAAGAAGTGTCTGCACGATATGTCGGCTGTATGTGTGTGTGAGTAAGTATTGACTGCCATCTCCTTGCAATTCCCCACCTCAGTCCAGGCGTGTAAGAATATGTCTGCACCTCTGTGTAGTCCCCATGTGTGCAGCTGTGTGCGCGTTATGTTCTGCATCGGTAAATGTAACTGTCCATGTGTACGCCTTCAGCAAGAAGTGCTGAACAGGCTTTTCCCCTAAGTATGCCCCGTTGGGCTCCCATGCAGGGTATGAAGCGTTGCTGATACCGTCGTGTGGGATGGGTGGGTGAAAGCGCTGTCGGTATGCGGGTCAGTTTTGTGGTTTTGTGCGTCATGCGTTGTAGAGTTATATGTTCCTGGTGTGTAAGTCGGAGCCATTTGTAGGCGTCGTGCTAAAGGTAGGTGCGGTAGGTGGCAGGTACCCTTGCAGGTCAGGGGTGCAATTGGGGTCGGGTATCTCCTCCTCCTCCTCCTCCTCCTCCTCCTCCTCCTCGTCCTCCTCCTCCTCCTCCTCCCCCTTCTCCTCCTCCTTGTCCTCCGCACCTGTGTGTCGGCATTCGGCTGAGGCCCTCGTCCCTGGGCCTGAGCGCAGCTGGGAAGATTAGGCAAGATGGTGCATCGGGGAGGGGGGGGTGGCAGGTACAAGAGTTTAGCGTTTTTTCATCTACGAGAGGGCGATGGTCCCAGAGATCCAACGTGTTGAAAAATCAAAACGGGAAATTGTCGCTGTTGTCCCAACCTCTGGATTTCCCCCCCGGGCCCCAGGACCGTCAAAGCACTACTCAGGGGCCGAGACTTCTTCAAGGGAGCCCGTTTGAACAAATTGCGACATCGGATCTCTGGGTGGAGGAGGAGGAGGAAAAGGAGAAGGATGATGATGATGATGATGCTGATGATGCTGATGATGATGATGATGCTCCGCTCCGCGGGGCATGATGCTGGGAAACGCTCGGGACGTTGACATTTGGGAATGGGGACGTGGATAGCGTGTCGCGCCGAAGCGTGGTGCGCCAGAATCGGCGGAGCGACAGGCTAAGACAAAATGACTGACCGCATCCTCCTCCTCCTCCTCGATCGACCCTCATCGATCCTAGATCGGTCCTAATCCTCCTCAGGCAATCAGATTCCTCCTCCTCCTCAATCATCGATCATCGATCGATCATACTCGATCCTCGATTATTTTCCTCATCCTCCTCCTCCTCCTCGATCATCGCCCCCATGCTCGATTATTCTCGATCGATCGATCGCCTTCCCACCGGTTCTCCTCCTCGATCCTCGATCCTAATTGCCATCCTGCTCTTTCTCAATCAGTTCCCGTCGATACCGACCTCGTTCTATTCACCTCCTTGATCCTCGAACGATATCGACCCATCCTTCTCGATTCTCGATCGATCCATCTCCTACTCCGCCTCCTCCTCTGCCTCCTCCTCTGCCTCCTCCTCCTCGATCCTCCTTCTCGATCGTCCTCCTCCTCCTCCCCACCCTCCTCCTCCTCACCCTCCTCCCCCCATTCTCGATTCTCGATCGACTGTTCGATCTTGCGCTGGCGTCTGGGGCGGCACAAGCAGGAGAGGGAGGAGGAGGCGGAGAGCGCATCTCGAGCGAGCCGCCTGCCTCCCGCACGAGCCGAAAGCGAGCTGGCCGTCACATCGGTGGATCAAAGGTGGGGCCCCGAGGGATGGGGCCCTACGGTTACGTTGCTCCCATCGTACTTAAAGACCACATCCCAGAAATAATGTCGAGCACCCGGAAAAGTGTCGAAAGAGTGTCGACACAGTGTCGGACAAGTGTCCCCCAGGGCCCGACGTGTGAAAGCCCTCGAGTTTCGGTATCTTTGCTGTTGCTCGAAATCCTTTCTGATGATCAAGGTTAAAGTAGGTTAGAACATCATGACCCTAGGGATAGGAAGGGACCCTGAGATGAATTTATGTCGGGTAAGGCCATTCTAGGGGACCACATGCGAACCCTACCCCCACCCCCCACGATTTCTGAGAGGGAGGGTAGGGTTCACTTCGCTCGAGAGCTCCCGAACGAAGTGAACCCTACCCTCCCTCTCAGAAATCGTGGGGGGTAGGGGTAGGGTTCGCATGTGGCCCCCTACATTCGTCCCCCGGGCCCAATCTCTCGGGGCTCCATCCTTGCACCGCCGAGGATAAAAACCACACATTGGGGGGAACAGGCGGAGCGCGCCGGCGGGGCTCCGCGCCAGCCTCTCGCGCGCCGGCCTCTCGCGCCGCCGCCGTCGGGGCGGGGCAGACCTACTTCTGCCTCACGGGCTGGTAGGCCGAGGTGTAGGTGCGGGGCTTGTACATGCCTAGAGGGACAAAAAGTGGCATGAACATAAAAACTCGGAGCTCCGCGCGGATTTCTCGGATCGGCGCTTGGGCCCCCTGGCGGCGCCTCCGGCGCCGCCCCTGGCGCGCGGAGCGCGCCCGGGGAGGGGGGTCCAGCGCCGATCCGAGAAATCCGCGCGGCCCTCCGAGTTTTTGTGTTTATGCCACGCTTTGTTCCCCCAGTGCCCTGGCTGGGCCAGACGTTGCCGGTCGCGCCGCCGTCCTTCCGGGCTGCACGCAGGAGGGGCCCCCTCCGGGCAAGAGTGACAATCTGGTGCTCGGGCGCGGGCGGGCGGGGGGCAGGCCCGAGCGCGCCAGACGCTGCCATCGCATCGCGCTCCGCGATCGGGAGTCTCCAGGTGGGCCCGCACCAAAGCGGCGGTGGACAAGCCTCCCTTTCATAAACCTCCCCTTCATGAAAACGGCCTGGGGCCGAAACCGACGGACCTGGACCCGCAAAAATGGCGGCCGCGACGCCCTCCCGCGAACCGAAAACGGCCTCAATTCCTGAACCGACGTGTCAGGGCAGGAGGCCTATCAACCTCCGGCCAGAGGTCACTGCAGCGAAGGGTCGCTCTTGCGCGCAGTCGAGTCCTTCAGCCAGACGGGGGCCACCTCCTTCCTGACCCTCTCGTACTCGGCGGCCTGGGCCTTGGCCCTCTTGATCTGGCTCGGGTCGATGAGGTACGTGCCGTCGTCGGCCGCCGAGCCCCGGTAGCTGGGGATGATCTGGTAGTTGCCCATGTTGTAGCGCAGGAAGGTGCCGGCTCCCGTCGAGGACATCGTGTACTTCTTGTCGTAGTCGTGGCCCCACTTCCAGGTCTGCAGCCCGATGCCGCTCTCCACCTTGTTCGCGGCCTTCGCGATCGCCGCCTTCTTCGCCTCGAAGTCCTTATCGCCCTTGTACTGCAGATCGCGCACGTCCATGACGACGGGCTCGGGCGGAGGCGCGGGCGCGTCGGCGGCCGGCGCGTCCGCGGCCTGCGCGTGCTGCGCACCCGCCAGGGCGACGCCGAGGCCGAGCGCAAGGCCTGCCAGGAAGCCCTTCGCGGGGAAGCCCTCCGTGGCCGCCTCCGCCTCCGCCTCCGGGGCCGCCTGCTCCCAGCGCTGCAGGCTGGCCGGCACCTGGGGCTGCGCGGGGGCACGGACGGCGCCGGGCTGCACGAAGGCGGCGCCGCCAACGGCGCCGGCCACGGTGCACGCGAGGGCGGTGAGCTTGCTCATGGAGGGCATGGCTGCCGAGTGGGAGCGCGGGCGTTCGAATCGCTTGGGCTAAAACGACGAACTGCGGGTGGAAGAGGTAGAGGCAAAGGAGGAGGAGCAGGAGGAGGAGGAAGAGGAAAGGGAACAGAATGAGGAGGAGATTGAGGAGGAGGAGGAAGAGGAGGAGTCGAGCGTGCTGACGAAGGAAGAGGAGGAAGAGGAGGAGGAGGAGAAGGAGCACGTGGAAGAGGAGAACGTGGAGGAGGTAGAGGACGTGGAGGAGGAGGAGGAAAAGGAGGAGGAAAGGACGCAACGTTCACCGAACCTCATGTCTGACCAACGTCAAAAAAAGAGAGGATGACGAGCAGGAGGACGTAGAGGATCAGGAGGGAGAGGCTCATTCGTGCGCTGGTGCCTCGGGCGGCTAAGGTTCCTGGACATGCCCGAGTGCTCAACGATGTCTCGCACCTGCGGTTCGAAGCCCATGTCCAGCATCCTTCCGGGGGGGGGAGGCGCGGATCGGCTGGCGCCGCTGGGGGGGCTTCGGGCGGCGACGAGCAAAGGACGATTATCGGAGGCCGATGACAGGGGAGGGGAAAGTGGGGGGAGAGAGGAGGAGTCCCTCGTCCTCCGCATCGTCCCCCTTGTCGTTGCTCTCCTCATCTTGTTCCTCCCTCCGCCTGCTCTTCATCCTTCTCGTCCTCTACGCTCGATCATCCGCCCATCGAACCTCCAATTTCGATCCTCGCCATCCACGGAACATCGATCCTCTCTGCTCGATCCTCTTCCTCCGCTCCAATATGTCCTTCTTGGCTATATTTACCGTGTACCCTGAAGAAAAGCATGTACACGCTAAGCGCATTGTCCCTTAGCGTGTAATTGGCACCTAGCGTGTCACAGGCGTCGTTTAGCGTGTACCTGGGTCGGGGGGGGTATCTGCCCTGCGCCAGTTCTGCAATATTGAGTTTAGCATGTACCCAAGCCGTTTCCCCCCTCCTCCTCCGCTTCCTCATCCTCCTCCTCATCCTCCTCCTCCTCATCCTCCTCATCTTCCTCCTCCTTCTCCTCATCCTCCTCATCTTCCTCCTCCTCCTCCTCCTCCTCCTCCACCCACCCGCCCTCGCCCTCTCACCTTCTCACCCCCCCCCTCCTCCTCCGCCTCCTCATGTTCCTCTTCCCTCTCTTCTTCCTCCCCCTCCCTCGGGCGAGGGAGGTGGTGTTGGGGAGAGGGCGGCGGAGGAGGAGGAGGAGGAGGAGGAGGAGTGGGAGGAGGAGGAGGAGGAGGAGGAGGAGGAGGAGGAGGAGGAGTGGGAGGAGGAGGAGGAGGAGGAGGAGGAGGAGGAGGAGGGGGGGAGGAGGAGGAGGAGGAGGAGGGGAGGAGGAGGAGGAGGAGGAGGAGGAGGAGGAGGAGGAGGAGGAGGAGGACGAGGAGGACGAGGAGGAGGAGGGCAGGGGCAGGCCCCAACCCGACTGAGGGGAGGGGGAGGGGGCTGAGAGGAGGGGGCTGAGCCAAAAAGGGTTCCAGAGAGGCCCAAGAGGGGGAGCCCGCAGGGACCCCAGAAGAATTCCCCCACAGGATGGCCCCCCAAACGCCCAACTTGACACCAAGATGCCCCCAAGAGGCGACCAGAGAGCCAAAGAAAGCCTCCAGGAGCCTTGGAAAGGCTCCAAGCTTGTACCGCTTATGTGTTCTTGGGCCCGTTTGTTTGCCCTTGGGCCCCTCCTGGACCTCTCATGCGGCCCCTTTCTGGGCCAGGCGGGTCTTGGGGTCCCCCGGGGGCCATCTTGGGGCGGCCTCAGGCCCTCTTGGGGCCCCCTGCGGGCCTCTTGGGGCCCTGTTAGAGCCTTACGAGGACCCCAAGAGGGCTCCAACATGGCCCCAAGAGGGCCCCGCAAAGAGGCACACTCGTGCTCATACTGTGTGCCTCTTGGTGGGGCCCTCTTGGAGGCCTCTTGGGGGCCGTTTGAATTTCTCTTGGAGTCTCCTGGGGGCCACCTTGGGGCGACCTCGGGCCTTCCTGGGGGCCCCTGGGGGCCTTTGGGGTCTCTCTGGGGGCACACTGGAAGCCCTTAGAAGGCCCCAGGCTCCAAAAGGCCCCCCCAAAGAGGCACACTCGTGCTCATACTTTGTGCCTCTTTGTGGGGCCCGCTTGGAATTCTGTGGGGGCCCTCTTGGAACCTGCTTGGACCCTCTTGGGCCCAAGTGGTCTCCGGGGGCTTTCTTGGAACTGCGTTGGGACCTTTTTAGGCCTCACTTGGGCCTTCTTGACCTCTTGGAGCCTTCGCAATTTTAGTCATAATGGTAGCTTCCAGCGGGACCGGGGCCATAGCCGGTTTTTCGTTGCAGCCGTATGCGTCTTGTTTTACTACCTTCTAGTGACGGATCGGCGTTGACGCTGTAGGGTAATCCGCAGCAGCGGCTGCTGCCCTCTCCTTTCCTCCGTCGGCTTCCTCGGCATTGTCAGGGGAATGGGAGTGACATGGCGGCAGTCGGGCGTTTTCCTCACACTTAGCGTGTACCTGGAATGCCCTCCCTCTTCCCTCTCCCCCCTCCCCTCTCCACCCCCTCTGTCACTTCCCTCCGACTTCCTTTTCAGACTTCCCTGGGTGGTCTTGGGGGTATTTGTGAGGTTCTCTTGGGGGCGTTGTTGTCGGCCATTGGGGCCCCTCTTGGATTCGCCGGGGCCTTCCTGGGCGTTCTTGGGGCCCCTTGGGGCCCTCTTGGGGCCCCTCTTAAGCTTCCATGGGGCCTGCTCGGGGCCTTCTTGTTCATACTCCCACGGTGCTCCCCCCCATTCCTGTTGCCAGGGGGATGGGAGTGAAATGGCGCAGTAGGGCGCTTTCCTCCCACTTAGCGTGTACCTGGAATGCCCCCCCCTCTTCCCTCCCCCTTCCCCCTCCACCCCCTCTGTTTTGTCCCTCCGACTTCTTTTTCAGACTTCCCTGGGTGGTATTTGGGGTATATGTTGGGTTCTCTTGGGGCGCTGTTGTGGGCCATTGGGGCCACTCTTGGATTCGCCTGGGCCTTCCTGGGCATTCTTGGGCCCCCATGGAGCCCTCTTGGGGCCCCTCTTAAGCTTTCATGGGGCCTGTTCGGGGCCTTCTTGTTCATACTCCCACGGTGCTCTCCGTTCCGATTGCCAGGGGGACGGGGGTGAAATGGCGGGAGGCCGTCTTGGGCCATCGTGGACGCTCCAACCGTCGCGAAACACCACGTCCAGATCCACGGGGATAGGGGGTACGTAGGGGGAGGGGTCCGTAAACCCCTCCCAAAAGGGGAAGGAGGGGGTTGAAAAAGAAAGCTTCCTAGACCACCTACGTGCTTAGCGTACTTCACCTCGCGTACACGCGAAGCGCTCCAAGACGCTTACCGTGTATATCGGAGGGCTGTTTCACCCCACCCTACTTAACGTGGCCCGCCCCCTGCGCTGCTTAGCGTGTCAAGGGCTTCGGTTTCACAAGTCTCGAAATTACGAAGACGCTAATAATAGGACCCTGACCGCATGTCCTCGCAATTCCATGTTCAGACCGCAATAGCGCGTGCTAGCGTCGGGTAATCGATGAAAAATAAACACAAACGCAGCGTCAATTTAGCGTCGGATTGCGTCGATTTGCGTCGGATTGCGTCGGTTCGCCACAGCCAGCAAGATGGCACGCACCGGAGGCCCACATGAGTTGCCACCGAAGCATGAACGAGTTCAAAGGGAGAGGCAAGCGTCTCGCACGCCTCGCCACCCCAGACAAGCGGGGGTCGGCCGACCCCTTCGCAAGAAACAACTCTGTGCAGGAGTGCAAGATCTACCGACCTGAAACATGTCCGTACCCCGATGAGTGGTACCACCTTTTTCTCGATGCCGGCCGTAAGGATCATCTTTCGCTTCTGACGACGCACCCCTGAAATTGTCATCGCTTTTTGGCTTCTCAGTCCTCGGGGTAGGGATACAGTCGGACCGAGGCATAAGAGGAGGAGGAAGAGGAGGAGGAGGAGGACGACGAGGAGGAGGACGACGAGGAGGAGGAGGAGGGAGGAGGAGGAGGACGAGGGCCCGTTCCCAAATCCAGCGCACAGCGTGTACCTAGGTCGGCCCTCCCAGAACATCACAGTTTGGGCCCTGGCCCCGCCAAAGCGCTTAGCGTGTGACAGGCGTCGCCCAGGGTGCTCCAAAAATCTGGTTCACGCTAAGCGTAGCCACCGACCGTACCACTCCTCGCACCATCCCCAGGTCGTTCCCGCCTGCAGCCCTGCCCGCTTCAGCGACGCTCTGGCAGCCCAGCTCCTCCGCCCAAGTTAGGATGGCAGGGCAGGCGAAAAGGCGGTGGAACGCCGTGCCCCTCTCGTACCCGCACCATTGGCACGACGGGCTCGTCACCGCACGCTCGACGTACAAGTCGTTCTGCGTCACCAGCCCTCCTGCGATGTGGGCCTCGAGCAGCGCGACCTCCTCGAACCTCCCTTCTCGTCGCATCTTGCAGCGCCAAGCGGAACGGCTCGAGGTCGGGCGCCTTGCCTTCTAACTGCCCGAAGCCTGGGTGCTTAGCCACCTCCCTCATCAGGTAACGATACACCCCCGCTTCGATCTGGCTGGACACCATGCGGGGGCTCACCCGCAGCTCAATGGCGTGGCCCTGGTCGTCTTTCCACTGGTCCCACGCGAGCTGCTGCCAGCCGATCCGCTTCAGCGAGAGGACCACTGCTCTAGCAAGGCCTGTGACCTCTCCCCTGGTGTCCGTCTTCACCTCCGTGACCATCTTGAACGCTGCCTCTGCGTAGGCTGGGTCGTGCTTCCAAGTCTTGCCTTCTTGCAGCGCGAACAGCAACGAGCGCGACTTCTTGCCGATCTCTCCAGTCAAGTCAAGGCTCTGCCGTGCGCCGCCCTGGCCCGCTGGAGGGCCTGAGGTGGCACCCCGCGCACCCTCGCTCCGTGGAGGATGGACGCAAGGCCTCCGGTCCTGAAAACGTTGGACAGCTTCCTGGCCCCCGCCTTCTTGAGGGAAGTGTAGCGCCCAGCTCGCGCAATCCTCTGGCGGGCAATCCTCTGGCGCAAGACCGTCCAGGACGCCGTCTTGTCTATCACGGAAACCACGGCAAAGTTCTTGGTGGCCTTCATGTGTCTTCAGCCTCTGCTCCACCCTGCGCGCGACTTCGCCCTCGGAGTTCAGGATCTGCCCCTTGGTCACTGGGATCGCGAAACCGATGTCCCCCAAGGCTTGGCAGAGCATTCGCGTGGCTCCCACCAGAATGTGTTCCGCCTGGGCTCTCTTGGTGTGGCCCGCGAGGGTGCTGTCATCCACGACCGCGCAGGTCTTGACCGCCTGCCACGGCTGGAGCATCGCGTCCAGGGGCTGGACCAGGACCGCTCTCAGGAGCGTCGGGGCGAAAGAGCAGCCCGCCAACAGGGAGAGGTCCACGTGGAACACCTCCGTCTTACATCTGCCCAAGCAGAGCCTTCGCCTCCCACTGTACAATCTCGCCAGCAGCTTGATCATCCTCAGCGG